TTGTTTTTTTAAAATATTTTATTTTTTTAAGATTTTATTTGAGAGAGAGAGAGCAAAAGCAGGGGGAGGGGTGGAAGAGAGGGAGAAGCAGGCTCCCCGCTGAGTGGCAAGCCCTCCCTGGGGCTGATCCCAAGACCCCAGAATCATGACCTGAGCTGAAGGCAGATGCTTAACCCACTGAGCCATCCAGGTGCCCCACATTTATGTGAATTTTATTCTACCTTACTGGTGACTCAGTCTTCTTCTTTTTTTTAAACCACCAGATCTAGACCATTTTACAGGTGAAATTTTTTTTTTTTTTAAGATTTATTTATTTACTTTGGGGGTCGGTGTAAGGAGCAGAGGGAGAGGGACAAGCAGACTCCACACTTAGAGCAGAGCCGGATGCTGGGCTTGATCTCACAACCCATGAGATTATGACCCGAGCCGAAATCAAAAGACTGATGTTTAACCAACTGAGCCACCTAGGCGCCCCTGACTCAGTCTTTTATTGGTTCTTCTTCTCAATCTGACCTCTAAATGTTAGGAATGTTACAGAGCTTAGTCTTTGGCCTTCTCTTCTCAGTATATACTAAATTACTTCATCCAATCCTTGACTTTAAAGCAATATACAAGATGACAAATCCTTGAGCTCCATATTTATATATCATACTATTTAATATTTCCATTTGAATGCCTTATGGGCATCTCAAATTTAACATGGCCCAAGAGAAACCTTAATTACCCCTTAACTTATCTTCCATATATCATTCACTGCAGTACCCACTCACCCAGTAATTTAACCTAAAAACCTAGGAATTATTTCTCAGACTGGATTCCCCATTTCCTTGACCATTACACACCTAATCTACTAGCAAGTCACGTGAGCTATAGCTTAAAAAGACATCTTTTTAAGAGATGTTGATTTGTGAACCAAATCAACGCCATCTTGGACAACTCTGCTATGATGACCATTCTGTGATATGAAGCATTCTGGAACATAGATTTCACCCCCCACCCAAACACACACACATACACACACACACACACTTTCCTTTTGTTTAACCATATCCTTAAGTACACCCTTGGGATATAACGTCCATGATCTGTCTTGGTGATATGACTGGAGCATAGATTTCACGCCCCCCAAACACACACACACACACACACACACACACACACACATTCTTTCCTTTTGTTTAACCACATCCTTAAGTACACCCTTGGGATATAACATCCATGATCTGTCTTGGAGATATGACTGACCCACACCTTTTCTTAAACATTTTCCTCTTGGGGGTGCCTGGGTGGCTGTCAGTAAAGTGTCTGCCTTCGGCTCAGGTCATGATCTCAGGGTCCTGGGATCGAGCCCTGCATCACATCGGGCTCCCTGCTCAGCAGGGTGTCTGCTTCGCCCTCTGCCTCTGCTGCTCCCCCTGCTTGTGCACTCTCTCTCTCTCTCAAATAAATAAAATCTTAAAAAAACAAAACAAAACATTTTCCTCTTGGATGGTCCCTCAACATGTACTCTCCAGCCTCTAGGGACTATAAAAGCAGGTCTTAAGGGAGGTGGTATTGCAGAGATCTACTCCTCTTGCAGCCACCCACAACACCCTTGTCAACCTGCATTTGTCAGCCTTTTTCTTTAGTCTCAGAGCTCCTTCAGCTTTGGAAGTTGTTTTGCATATACCTCCCATTCACATTACAACATCTCATAAACATCATTTCTTCTCTAGCAATGTAATCAAAGACACTATCATCTTCTTGCCTGGACTAGTGCAACAGCTTCCAAACATGACTTTCTGAACCTATTCTTGCATCTCCTCTGCTGTCAATATGGTCACTGCATTGGTCTTTCCATGTGTAAAATGGGACATATTTTAAACATTTCAATTATTTCTTTTCATTTTTATGGTGAAATTTGTAGCCTACAAAGCTATCTTACATTGTCTTTTTACTGAATGCCAATTCAATTTCTCTTTGTTCCATTTTCCTCCCAGATCAATATGCTACAGCCACACTGGCCACCATGATACTTTCAAAAGTATATCAAATTTACAAACAACTTAATTAAAAAATGGGCAGCAGACTTGAACAGATATTTCTCTAAAGATACACCAACAGTCAATAAGCACATGGAAAGATGCTCAACATCATTACTCATTAGGGAAAATCAAATCAAAACCACAATAAGATAGCACACCTACTAGAATGGCTATACGATTTTTTTTAAATGGAAAATAACAAGTGTTGGTGAGGATGTAGAGAAATCTGAATCCTTGGACAGTGCTGGTGGGAATATAAAATGGTGCAGTTGCTGTGGAAAAGTCTGGTGGCTCTTCAAAAAGTTAAACGCAGAATTATCATGTGACCAAGCAATTCCACTCCAAAGTATATACTCAAAACATATCAAAGCAGGGAGTTAAGCAGAGACTTATACCTCTATTGCAGTATTATTCAGTGTTCATTACAGCATTATTCACAATAACCAAAAGGTAGAAAAAACTAAAGTGCCCATGAATACATTAATGACTAAAATGTTATATATACACACACATACATTTACATACAATGAAATATTATTTAGTCATAAAAAGGAATAAAGTTCTGATACATGTTACAACGTGGATAAACCTTAAAAACATTAAGTTAAATAAGCCAGACATAGAAGGAGAAACACTGTATGATTCTACTTAGATGGAATATTTAGAAGAGGCCAATTCATAGAGACAGAAAGTAGATTAGAGGTTTCCAAGTGCTGAAGATAAAGGAGAATGGGAGTTATTGCTTAATGGTTATAGAGTTTCTGTTTGGTGTGATGAAGCTTTAGAAATAGATAGTGCTGATGGTTGCACAACACTGTGAATATAATTCATGCCAATGAATTATATTTAAAAATGGTTAAATTTATACAATTTATGATATACATGTATGTGTAAAAGTGTATTTTACTACAACTTCAAATAATTAATAATGTAAAATACCAAAAAAACACAGAATTGTACACTTCAAAATCTGACTTGTATGGTACATGAATATATCTCAATAAAACTGTTAAAAAAAAAACTATATCAAATTAATCACTGCTGGACTAATCAATGCAGCAAATAAAATAAAAAGCATTGACTTTAATTATGACTTCTCTAAATTTCTAAAAGTTATAGAAGTATAGAATTTACTCTTAATCTCAATTATAAATGCAAGAAACTACATTTCACAATTCTAGCATTAACCAGAAGACATGAATCATGATATAGATCAGAATAAAATATGTTTGTTACTAGACTAAAACCATCCTAAGAAAATGAAAACTATTGGGGGCACCTGGGTGGCTCAGCCGGTTAAGCAGCTGCCTTTGGCTCAGGTCATGATCTCACGGTCCTGGGATCAAAACCCACATGGGGGTCCCTGCTCAGCGAGGAGCCTGCTTCCTCTCCCTCTGCCCCTCCGTACCCCCCGCTTGTGCATATGCACTCACACTCTCTCTCTCAAATAAATAAAATCTTAAAAAAAAGAAAATGAAGAATATTGAAATGTTTTTAATACATTAGATAATAAAGCAATAGTGTTATAATGTGTAGTTACCAATATACATTTATGTATGTATCATATGTAAATCACACAAAAACAATCGAATAAATTGCAATGACTTAAACAGAAAACCAAAAAACTTACTGCTGTCTTTGTAGACTAATAAAATGCAGGCCATTATTTTCAAAAGTTCAGCAACAACCACTGCTGTAGAAGATAGATAACGAGGTCCCTCCTCTTTTAAAGTCCTAGAATAACGCATCGTTAGAACCAAACTGGTAGTCTGAAAGACTAAAATTCCCAAGGAAAGGTATTTTAGGTTGGCAGACATTGTTTTATCTTCATTTGCCTGAAAAATAAATAAGCAGGGCAAATAAACAAAATTAGAAAATACAGAAACATACTAAAAATCAGTATGAGACTTCTCATTCCAGATAAAATAGAGTTAAGTGCATTCTACCCTTTTCTTCCTGCTAATTACAACTATAAACCCTGGACCAAAGAAAAAAGCTAACTACTATAAGACTCTGGAAGGTGAAGAAAATAAGACAAACTGGCTAGAGACCCCAGATCCTGAGTGATAACCCAATAGTGAATTCCCTGGAGACTTCTGCCACCTATGTATCTCAGCCTGGCTGCCATAACAATTCACAACCTGGAACCACAACAGGTGGAGAGCAACAACAAACAGAAGTCCTAAGAAAAACCCATTGTCTCCAACCAAAGGAATAGGAAGACTGCAGCTCTGCAGGATGGAGCCCTACTAACTGGATGCTATGTAATGTGTGGAACAGAGACTCGCTGACCATCTCTACCCTGCATTAATGAGGGCGGAGACAGTGGCCCTCTTCCCTACCACCCGGGGCTACAGCTACCAAGACTGTTGAGGCTGAGCCCTATGAACCACTCCTGCCCTAAGCAAGGTGACTGTCAGCAAAGAGGCAGCACCCTTCCTCCCTACTAATAAAGAAGATTTAAGTAGGAATCAAGGTCTCATCATACCCAAAATGTCCTTGATACAATCCAAAAGGAATATATTCCTCATACCAAACAACAAAAACCAGGAAAAATCTCAACTAGGATGAGAAAGGACAATCAACAGACAACAATACAGAGTTGACACAGATGTCAGAATTACCAGAATTTTAATTTGTTGTTGTTGTTGTTTTTTGTTGTTCTTGTTTTTTAAAGGGAGAGGTGGAGAGGAGTAGAGGAAAAGGGAGAGAGAGAATCTTAAACAGTCTCCATGTCCAGTGTGGGGCTCAATCTCACAACCCTGCGATCCTGATGTGAACCGAAATCAAGAGTTGGATGCTTAACCCACTGAGCCACCCAGGCATCCCACTGACCTCCAAACAAGAATTTATTTTTTTAAAGATTTTATTTATTAAAGAGAGATTTTATTTATTTAAGAGAGAGAGAGCATGAGCAGAGGGGAGGGTCAGAGGCAGAAGCAGACCCCCCACTAAGCAGGGAGCCCAATGTGGGGCTCAATCCCAGGACCCTGGGATCATGAGCTGAGCTGAAGGCAGACGCTTAACAGACTAAGCCACCCAGGTGCCCCCAGACAAGAATTTAAAAGAAACTACTGTAACAATGCATGAACAACAAGCAATTATAAACACTCTTGAAATAATTTTAGATTCACATAGAATAAAAAATAGTACAAGAGTTCTTGTGTACTCTTCACCCAGCTTTCCCCAAAGATAAGAGTTGCAAAGTTCCTATATTTTCCCTAAAGTAATTCAGAATTGACTCTAAGAAGCTCACTTTAAATATGAAGATACAAATAGGTTAAAAAGTAAAAGAATGGAAAAAGATATGCCATGAGAGAAATAACTATGAGAAAGCTGGAGAGGCCAAATTAGTATCAGGAAAAATAAATTATATAAGAATTATTTCTAGAATTAAAGAATGACACTTCATAATGATAAAAGAGTCAATACATCAGTAAGATATAACCATTATAGATGAATATTGTGCCTAATAACTAGCTTCAAAATACACGAAGCAAAACCTAACAGAATTAAAAGGAAAAAGCAAGTAAATCCATAAGTCATAATGTGAGATTTTAACCCACTATTCTCAGTAATTACAAGAATACACACACATATACACCAAACCCCCCAGTATGAATACAGAAGATCTGAACAACACTATCAACCACTATAACTGTCAAAAACATGGAGATGTTCCACTAAGAGCCTCTTTCAAGGAAGGACTTAATGCAGTGTGTGTGGTCAATTAACTGCCTTTCCACCCAAGGTCACACCCTTTGCTTCCAACTGATCTAAAAATTGAATTCAATCTCAAGCAAAATCCCTACATGCTTTTTTGGTAGGAACTGATAAGCTGACTTTAAAATTTATATGGAAATACAAAGGACATAGAAAACCAAAACAATTTTGAAAAGGAAAAACAGTGTTAAATAAGTTAAACTCCCGGAGCGCCTGGGTGTCTCAGTCATTAAGCGTCTGCCTTCAAGCCCCGCATCGGGCTCCCTGCTCTGCGGGAAGCCTGCTTCTCCCTCTCCCACTCCACCTGCTTGTGTTCCCTCTCTCACTGTGTCTCTCTCTGTCAAATAAATAAAATCTTTAAAAAAAATAAAAATATAAATAAATAAGTAAGTTAAACTCTGAGGGGTGGCTGGGTGGCTCAGTCGGTTAAGTGTCTGACTCTTGATTTCGGCTCAGGTCATGATCTCAGGGTCGTGAGACTGAGCCCAGCTTTGGGCTCCAAGCTCAGTGGGAGTCTACTTGAGATTCTCTTTCTCCTACTGCCTCTGCCCCTACAGCCCCGCTCGTGTGCATGCATGCTCTTCCTCTCTCTCAAATAATAAACTTTAAAAAAAAAAAAGAAGTTAAACTCCTGAAATTCCATACTTACTATAAAGCTCTAGTAATTAAAACTGGTATTGACATAGGACAGGACAGAAGTATAGATCAATGGAACAGAAGACAGTCCAGAAGTAAATCCATTCATATTTGGTCAAATGACTTTGACAATGGTAACAAAAAAATAATTCTAGAACAAGACATCTGCATTCTTTTTAAGTGAATCTCTATCCTTATCTACCTCACACTAGAAAAGGATCACAGATCTGTCATAAAAGCTAAAGCTATAAATATTCAAGAAGAAAACAGGAGAAAAATATAGCCATGTAGGGATAGGCAAAGATTTCTTTTTTGTATTTTAAAGATTTATTTATTGGGGTGCCTGGGTGGCTCAGTCATTTAGGCCTCCGACTCTTGGTTTCAGCTCAGGTCATGATCTCAGGGTAGTGAGGATAAGCCCAACGTGGGGCTCCGCACTCAGTGGGGAGTCTGCTTGAGATTCTCTCTCTCCATCTCCTTTTTGAGATTCTTTCTCCATCTCCTTCTGCCCCTTCCCCCATTCTCTCTCTCTCTCAAATAAAACTTATTTGAGAGAGAGAAAGAGCACAAGCAGGGAGAGGGACAGAGGGAGATAGAAAGGAGAGAAGCAGACTCCGGGCTCGACCTCAGCACCCTGAGATCATGACCTGAGCTGAAACCAAGAGTCAAAAGCTTAACCGACTGAGCCATCCAGACAGGACATGCAAAGATTTCTTACAAAAAGCTCAAACCATAAAAGAAAAATATGGATAAATTGCATATCATCAAAATTTAAAACTGTTCATCCCAAGATACTATAAAAATAATAAAAGGCAAACCACATCATGGGAGAAAATATTCTCAATACGTGTATCTGACAATGGCTTTGTATCCAGAATATATATAGAACTCTTACAACATAATAAATACAAGACAACCCATGAATAAAAGATCTCAGTAGACATTTCACCAAAAAAGACAAACGAATAGCTAATAGGCACATGAAAAGACATTCAACATCATAGTCATTAGAGAAATACAAATTAAAACCACAATGAGATACCATTATATACCTATTAGAATGGCTAAAATTGTAAAAATTGATGCTACCAAGCGATGGAGAAGATTTTGAGCAAATAGAGCTCTTAACATTGCTAGTGAGAATATTAAGTGATACAACCACTTTAAGTAACAGTTTGATAGTTTATTTTAAAAAATAATAATAATCTTTTCATATAACCTAGAAATTCTACTCTTAGGTGTATACCCAAAAGATCTGAAAGCATTTATCCATAATACTTGTGTATGATTATTCATGGAAGTTTTATTTGTAACAGCCAGAAACTGGAAATAACCCAAATGCCCATTAACGGGTAAATTACCAAACATACAGTGGTACATCCTTATGATGGAATACTACTCAGCAATAAAAAGAAATGAAACACTGATACAAGTTAAAACATCAATGCAAACTTTTTCAACAGCAAAAAAGTTTACAGACAAAACAGTATATACTATATGATCCATTTATATGAAATTCTAAAAAGGGCAAAAATAATTTGCAGTAATGCAAATTTATGGTTGACTGTGGCCAGGGGTTGAGGTTGGGGATTGACTGCAAAGGGATAGCAAGAAATTTTTGGTGGTGATGGAAATATTCTGTATCTTGATTATGTGGTGGTTATACAATTGTATTCACTTATTGTAACTCATGAACTAAACATATAAATGGGTACATCTTATTGTGTGTAAACTACAGCTTAATAAAGTTGATTAAAGATAGAGGACATACTAAGTAGTAGCATTCCTCAGCAGGCTTTCCTCATAGCTTTGATTCTAGCTCTAATTTCTTTGGATTAATACCAATGGTGTTCTGTTAGTCTGTTCTTCAGCCCAACTCTATCCTTTCCATGATTCCATCTTCCACCCTAAGTTTTGTTAATATTGACCCTCTTTATTGTATATCTCTTTATAGCTCTCACAACCAAGCCACCATTTACAGTTTTAGATAAATGATCCTCTATCTTCCCTTACCTCATAATTATTAAAACAGCATGTAATATATTCAAACATTCAACAGTCATTATTTGGTGCCTATACTAGGCCAAGTACCATGGTTACAGTGACAGCCTATCCTTGAAGGCACAAAGTCTAGCTCATTAAATTTAGCAATTCTCTGACTGAATATGCTCCAGAATCAAACAATGTAACACCATCAATATGAGGATAAAATTTTTAGTGCCGAAAAAGAATGATTGAAAAAAATTACCTTAAGTACTTCATCTGAATTTCAGAGAGAAAATCTGAATAATATATGTCTTTTTTGTCACATATAAAGGATCAAGCTTAGAGGAAAGAACACATCAATTTATGTATCAACCATCTCACTTTTGTAAATCTGCATTAGCAAGAGTCCTAATGTGAAATAAAATTACAGCATTTTAGAGGTAGAAGATGCTTTAGAAATCATCTAGTATAAATATCTTCATTTTTAAATGAAGAAAATAGGGGCGCCTGGGTGGCTCAGTCGTTAAGCGTCTGCCTTCGGCTCAGGTCATGATCTCAGGGTCCTGGGATCGAGCCTCACATCAGGCTCCCTGCTCAGTGGGGAGCCTGCTTCTCCCTCTCCCTCTGCTGCTCCCCCTGCTTGTGCTCTCTCTGTCTGTCTCTGTCAAATAAATAAATAAATAATCTTTAAAAAAAAATAAAATAAAATGAAGAAAATAATAAACAGAGAAGTTAGATTACTTGTTCAAGGTCATTTAACTACTAATTGGAAATACATAGTTAAATATCAGGTTTGCTAGCTCTCACTACATGCTACTGTAGAATTTCAGAGGACATCCTAGTGGCCTATATCTCCGTATGGAAGGAGAGCAAGTTGCCAGTAATCGACATTTGGCATAGGCACCCGATTCTCCTGGAAAATCTATTCAAGGAAGTCTTTTGTTTATTCTGTACAGCTAAGACCATAATGTACCTGTTATAACAGCAAAGCTCTACTTTCTTTTCAAATGAAATTTTAAAGGTCAGATTCTAAACCAGGATATACTATTTTTACTATTTTGCTTTTCCACTTCCAAGCATATAAAACATCAACACATTCACTGTGATAATTCCATTCTTAATTATTAATACAGTTAACAGTCTCTTACAATGCATTTTTTTTAAAGTATGTGAGATAATAGAAAAAATATATATTGGTCTCTGCCCTACGTCCTGACACAGGGCTCCTGAAACGCTTATAATTTCCTGGGTGATCAACTGATCATGCCTCTATGATGAGAACTCCATAAAAATTCCACTAGTATGAGGTTCAGAGAGCTTTCAGGATAACAAGCTATACACACCGTGAGGATAACACATCCCAACTCCACAGGGACAGAAGCTCCTGCACTCAGGACCCTCCCAGGCCCTGTGCTTATATAGCTCTTCATCTAATTGTTCATTTGTATCCTTCATCATATCCAGTAATAAACTGGTTTAAGAAAGTGTTTTTCTGAGTTCTATGAGGCACTCTAGCGAATTAATCCAACTTGTGGAGGAGATGGTGGGAACCTCTGATTTGTAGCCAAACTGGACAGAGTTGTGGGTAATTTGGTGACCTACTACTTGCAACTGGATCTTAAATAGGGTGGGAGCATTCTTATGGGACTGAGTTCCTAACCCATGGGATCTGACACTATCTGCAGGTATATAGTGTCCTAATTGAGTTAAATTGTAGGATACCCAGCTGGTGTCACAGAGAATTGCTTGGTGTGAGGAAACCATACCTCTTCCCCAACATTTGGTGACCTGCAATGTTAGAAGTGAAGTGTTCTGTATGAGGAGTAAAGGAGACACACAGGAGGAAAGAACTGGATTGTTTTTCTAATATAAAGTTGAAAAGTAAAATATATACAAACAAATGATCATTTGTACTAGATCAACTGTAAAGAATTACAATTTAATTCACAATTCTGCCTAAGGAAAGTAAAAATATGAGTATTTCTAAGATTATACAAATACATAACTTGGTTTTGGAATATAATACAGGTAAAATTAAATATGTTCATTTAATACAGACCATAAATTCACAGCAAATCCATAAATATGAAATCTATCAAAACAAAGACTATACTCCACTTCTATAATTTATAAGATTAATATTGTTTCTTCATTTTAAAGTGTACAATATTTTCTCATTACCATTGAACACAAACTCTAAACAATCTTACGTTTAAGATTTAATTTTAGTCCTCCCTACATTTTCTTCTCTTGCCACCTAATTCCCCTTTTTTTTATCCTTTCAGGTAGTGCTAATCCTCTAGTTTCCATATTATTCTTTGTTTCACATTAAAATTTCCTATCTAAGAAACTTACAAACCAATAATCAACAAGAAACTGTGCTAAATTCTCTCAAAAATGTAACTTTTTTCTTTTTTTTAAAGATTTTATTTATTTATTTGACAGAGAGAGGGAACACAGCAGGGGGAGTGGGAGAAGGAGAAGCAGGCTTCCCGCTGAGCAGGGAGCCAGATGCGGGGGCTCGGTCCCAGGACCCTGGGATCATGATCTGAGCCGAAGGCAGACCCTTAACGACTGAGCCACCCAGGCGCCCCCAAATGTAGCTTTTTTCGATTTACTACCAAAAGCCTTACAACCCAGTCAACAAATTACTGCCCATGTTTTTTTAAGGTCCTTGGTTACTAAGCTCCCTGAACTCACTTTGGGTTCAGTGAGGCTCTCAGATTTATAGCAGGATCAGAGGAGTAAGGATGCTTAGATGTTCCACTTTTACTTAATAGCTAAAACCTGAAAAATGCACTCTTCTTGATTACTAGAGTAAAGAACACTATTTCATTCTGATGGCTCTTCTTTGTTTTATTCTGTTTTTTAAAAATAGCATTTATTACTTTAATTATTTTAAAAAGCAGTATATTCTTAGAAAAATGCAGAAAACTTATTTTAATTGGTAAAAATTTGAACCATAATCAACTATCCAAAAACATCTAATGATATTTTGGTATAGATTTTGTCAATAATTTTTCTTATTTCAGTTTTTTTTGAAATCCCTAAACCCCAGGACTTTAGTAGCAAAGGTGAAATAGAGTACCTAGACCATTTCATATTTCCACTTAAAAGTTTTCAACAACCTTTTGGGTTTCTTAGTTACATGGAAAACAGAGTCTTGTAATCACAAAGTTCCACCTTTTCCTAATAGATAGATCTTTCTTGACGGGAAAAAAATGGAATTTTAAAATTCAGTGAAGTACCAAGAACATAACAAACATCCATGATTCCATCACCCAGAACTGATGTCTCAATTTTGTCACATTTGTGTACCTTTCCTTTTGTAAAGGAATAAAATATTACAACTAAAGTCAAAGTCCCCTTTAAGCCACCACTCTAAGTCCTATTCCTTTCCCCCTCCCCAGTAGGAATCTGTTACAAGTTTAAAGTATAGATTTCTCGTCTATTATTAAAATTTTTTTCATACATATATAATATAATCATAAGCCATAATTACATTAACATGGTATCAAACTGTATCCATTATTTGGCATTCTCCTTATTCTATTCAGTATTGTATTGCCATCTATGCTGATATACAGACCTAGCTCACTGCTTTTAACAGTTCTAAAGTTCCATCAAATGAGTGAACCTTTTATTTACCGAATCTCCTACTGATAAACATTTAGCATCATTTTCCTTTTAAAAATTTAAATTTAAAAATTTAAAAATTTCCTGGGTTGCCTGGGTGGCTCAGTCGGTTAAGCGTCTGCCTTCAGCTCAGGTCATGATCCCAGGGTCCTGGGATCAAGCCTCACGTTGGGCTCCCTACTTAATGGGGAGTCTGCTTCTGCCTCTGCCCCTCCCCTCTGCTCGTGCTCTCTCTCTCTCTCAAATAAATAAAATCTTTCAAAAAAAAAATTGGCTTCCAAAGATTCTTGCTTTACAATGTCAATTCTGAGTTTAAAGGCTTAAATATTTTAAAGGCTTAAAATGTTTAAAAAATATCCATTACATGAAGTATATGTATCATTAATGTACACTACTGACTGCTACCACCTCTACCCCCAAATTAATCAGGATTAGTGAGAAATGAGTTGTGTATACCACATCTAAGTGCATTAGATATGCATTAACTAAATTTTGAAATATTCAAAACATTATATACTAATAATTTTTACTCATCTTTTCAGACACAGATAGGTCCTTGTAGGTAAATCTGAATATCAGTCTGGCTATAGATTTATTCCAATAGCTTATCAAAGTATATGCATAATCTTCAGGACTATAATATGAAGCCCATTATTTCTACTGAAACAAGACTATCTGTACTTCGCTGATATGTCTCCAGCTACTAAAAGTCCTAAAAGACCAAATGTTTAGTCAATGTTTTAAACTGTAATAAAATTTACATAGATTCTTGAAGACTACTAAGTACCTAAGAAATTCTGCATATCAATTTTCCTTCAATTGTAAAAATAAAAGTCTAAATTTCTTAACTTATGGTTTTTAGAGTAAGCTATATTTACATTTTCTAAACACTGGTTCTGAAATATACTCCCTAAGTACAATAAAATAATCTACTAAAGGTTAATGACATAATAGAGTACATATGAAAACACACAAATTATAAAGTGCGAATAAGCAAATAGCAGTTCACATTATATGCTATTCAGAAACAGTTACTGGTAAAAACAGATCTTTTAAGATTTTCCCAAGTAAATGAACAGAAAAAGTAAATAAATACATACAAAAATACTGACCTCAGTTGCAATTTTTTGTCCACTGTCTTCCATGATGCCAAACTTTAAAACTGCAACCTATAACTGTATGCTAAATAATGACAAATAAAATTCATCACAACTGCCTTTACTTCTGACACTGGCATTTATATATCTTCCTTTCAAACTACCTCAGAAGTAGCCGCAGCATTTCCTAAAAGTAGCAAAAATACGTCATACTTGTTAATAATCTTGTGGAAAATCAAAAAATTTTATGTTTTATAAAAGTGAAAGAAGAATGAGTCAAAGATAATTTATACTATCTGTATAATCAACTGTTTCTATGATAGAAATAATAACTTCCACTAACTTAGTTCACTTTTAAGTGCAAAGCACAATCCTGCTCAGTCACACTTAATAATCAACTCTTTACTAACTAAGGTTCCTATTACATTCTAAGTAAAACAACTTGTCATTGTTTCTCCTTCCCTTTCTTCCTCAATGTGTCAGGTGTCTGTTTACATAAGGCAAATATCACCTGTATGTAAATTACAGTACTGCCAATTTTTAACTTGTTCTTTCACTATTGTAGAATTTCCATTCTTACATTCAGTTAAATCGATAATACTCAAATATTTCTTCAACTATACAAATATAAAACCTATTTGCATTCTAATTTTTAGATTAAAAATTGTTCAGTATTATTGTACTCTTTATATAATGTCAGCAATTTGGAAAACATAATGACCTAATAAGTATAGCTCTAAGATCCCCTTTGAATGTGTTGTGCTTCACTCTCCCATTTCTCCATCTCTGTGCTATTCTGCTCTACCACTTTCTGCTATGGCCATTTCCTCCACTTACAGCTAAAGGCAGAAGTTAAAGATATTCTTAAAAAAAATAAATAAAGCTATTCTAAAAAGAATAGAGACTAGTGTAAAAGCCAGGTTGGTCCACAGGCACTAACCATTAGTAAATGTTCAAGGAGACTGGGGGCAGAAGGGAAAAATAAAGGTATCCTACAACTCTCCACAACTTGCCATCAATATTTAATACATACAATGCTCAGGCATTAGGTACACAATGATGAACAAGACAAATATAGTCTTTTTCTTCATGAAGTTTATCCTCTAGCTTGGAAGATACATTATTCAAACAACTCAAGAAATAGTATTAAGTATGTAAACTCCTATGACAGGGTGCAAGAGAAAAATATCATAGGAAAATGATGATACCTTATGTCCACTTAGTTAAACTCAAACGTATTTCCCAAAGTCCCTTTCTCTGTATGGTGCTAGGTTAGAACTGGCTAAACATAAAGTCTGCACAAAACTTGGGAGACAGGGTGACACAAGAGCATTACTCACAAAAAATACTCAGGGTTAAACGTGGTAAAACAGAAACAGAGAATTAGGTTCTAGTTATCCTCACTCTTCCCTGCGCTAGGTCAGCTCTTCCTCACAACTGCTGATCCTACTGCACAAAAGTGGGCTCATGCTCTCCACCAGACTCTTGACTGCGGACGGAAAAAGACAGCTACACAGAGAGGACAGCTTTCTATACACCTTTCCACCAGCTCCATTACATGATCCTATTCTGGCTTATAGGACATGCCTCGCTCCCTAATTCCTTTGAAAGCTGACTTGTGTACCCACACTAGTGTTTCAGGAGGGCTGCTTTTAGTGACTTTTCAGTAATCCTCCAACACTATTTTTCCCCCCAACACTCTCTTTTTAGACCTTTACTTCCCCTGCTTTTCCCATAATTGAGAAAGGTCTTATTCCTATCACAAATCCCTTATTCTATAATAGTGAAGGGCTCTGTTTCTCTATTGAACCCTGATACAGTGTTTGGTACCAAATGTGGTTCTAGGGTAACAGATCCACAATGATAGTAATTTGGAATCAGTTTTCTGATCCGACTAGATTTAAGGCCATTAAGGACCCTATTACCAGTGGTAAAGGAGACAGTTGTAGTTGTTCATCATGCCAAGGCAAAAATTACTTAAACTATCACCTGTAAATACCTATAATCAACATTAGGTTTTGGGTGATCAAGTAGTGCTGCCACAAACATTTTACTGGAAATTGGCATATAATGGTGTTCATTTCTTGCTTCTAAAATAACTAGAAAACTTGGAGAAAGAAAATAATGAACTTGAGACCCTAAATTCACAGCCCATGGTCCAGGTAAAGTATCAGAAAGTTTCTGTCACAGCCTAAAAACAACTTATCTCTTTTAGCTACAAAGTCAGTATTTCTGAAAAACAAATCCAAAGTCTGATCCTGTCATGGGCTTGAAATAAAAAGCAAACTGAAGGGCGCCTACGTGGCTCAGTTGGTTAAGTGTCTGCCTTTGGCTCAAGTCATGATCCCGGGGTCCTGGGATTGAGCCCTGCATTTGGCTCCCCGCTCAGCGGAGAGTCTGCTTCTCCCTCTGCCTCTCCTCCTGCTCATGCTCTCTCTCATATAAATGAATAAAATCTTAAAAAAAAAAAAAAGCAAATTGAGTTTACAATTTCGTAGAGTCCCAGAATCCTATGCTCTACACATTTTTACAATCTCTATATCCTAGCACATGTCCAGACAGTAAAATATGCCTGAGGATTGTAGTAGGCTGAATAATGGCCCCCAAATATATAGGTTCTAATCCCTAGAACCTGTAAACATTACCTTACTTGGGAAAGAGGATTTTGCAAATGAAATTAAGGATCTTGAGATGGGAAAATTATCCTGGATTAGCTAAATGAGCCCTAAACACCAACACAAATGTCCTTATAAAAGACAGAAAAGGAGAACACAAATACTCAAGAGGAGAAGACAGTGTGAAGATGGATCCAGAGAGAGATTTGAAGATGCTGGCCTTGCAGACTAGTGATACAGCCACAAACCAAGGAAGACTGGCAACCACCAGAAGCTGCAAGAGAAAAGGATGGATTTTTCCTTAGAGCCTCCAGAGAGAGCATAGGTAGTCCTGCTGACACTCTTGATTATCAGCCTAGTGATACTGATTTTGGATTTCTGGCCTCCAGAACTCTGGGAGAATATATTTCTCTTAATTTAAGCAACCCATCTGGGATAATTTGTTACAGCAGCCACAGGAAATCAATACAAGTATCTGTATTTTTAAAACTTAATTGTTCTCCATTCTATGTCTACTGAGGCAGAAATCATTCCTAGGAGGAAGACAGTTAAAATTAAGTTTTCAGTACTCAAAAGAATTAATCAGTTACCAGGAAAACTGGCTTACACTGAAGAGTGCATACAACAGTTCCTCTCACATAGCTTGTGCTGTGCTTAATAAATATTATTTAAAATAAATGCCAGACTCAGTAAAAAAAAATCAAGGATACCAAATAACTGAGATATTACTCTAGTGATGTTCTGTCATGGAAAATGTGAAGCCCATCCACTTGGTTCACAAAACTAAATGGTTAATAATAATATTTCTAGAGGGAAGGTAAGGACTTGACCAGTGTTACAAAGTGATTCTACTAATGCTTACTTTAGAAAACATCAATTTCTTTGCCATTTTAAAGAACATAAAAGGTAAAAGAAAGTACAGATCATCACTATTTTTATTCATGTCTTTGTTTTTATAACCTAAAAAAGTAATAGCAGTAATCAGAGTTTATAATCTAGAAAACAATTTCCAATTTTAAATTTTCTGTTCACACTATTCTCAAATTGACTCCTTTATTTTTTTTATAAGATTTTATTTATTCACTTGACAGAGAGAGAGAGAGCATGTACAAGCAGGAGGAGTGGCAGGCAGAAGGAGAGGGATAAGCAGGACCCTGGGTTCATGACCTGAGCTGAAGGGAGACATTTAACTGGCTGAGCAACCCAGGCGCCCCAAATTAAATCCTTTAAACATGATTTATTGCCCAGTTTGAAGTATACTATGTGTGTCAAAACATGCCATCTAAAATATACCTATCTATATGCAGAAAGTCAAACATAATATAATCATTCTATAAGATAGTGTTGTTCCCCAAGTACTAACATTAATAACAAGGTTCTAGCATTTTTTCAAATGCTTAAGAATTAAAATATACCAGGATAATTAAGAATAATGTTCAGCTATTTATTTAATTCAGCCTGAGGATAAACCTGAAAGATCAGGGGCTTTAAGATGTTTCTCTTTCTTTTTTTTTTTTTTTAAAGGTTTTTATTTATTTGTCAGAGAGAGAAAGAGAGAGCCAGCACAAGCAGGGGGAGCGGCAGGCAGAGGGAGTAGCAGACTCCCCGCTGAGCAAGGAGCCCGATGCTGGACTCGATCCCAGGACCCTAGGATCATGACCTGAGCAGAAGGCAGACACTCAACTGACTGAGCCACCCAGGCGTCCCAAGAGGTTTTTCTTTGTAGCACTCACAAATGGTAAAAATTTTAGAAAAATGTTTAAAATAATTTAACTGAAACTTCATAGAACATATGGAATTAGCTGGTATTTATGGATTTATGGTTTGGCAAGTTGTCAAGGACAAAAAATATTTTGAACTCTAGCTATTAACTGTGCTTAGGTAATTAATGGAAGAATACCACCCTCCCCTAAGGACAAAATTCCACTATTAGAATTCAAATGCTGTGTGGTGGTGGTGGTCGTTGTTGTTTTTAACCACCACCCTTTCTAAACAGGAAATTGCCACCACTCCCAGGTAAACCTACAGTCTTGGGAGTTTATATAGACCATGGGTTTAAAAACTATTGAGTACATTTCAATTATGCCTGTTGAGTATTTACTGTTCAAGTCTCATGTCACTCTGCCTCCCAACTGATGGGACAGCCTTCAGACTCTAACAACTCCAACCTCCATATAGCTGATACCTTACTAAAATGTTGATCTGATCACATTCCTTCTCTTTTTGTAAAAGTTTAACTAACTCCCTACCAATAGAAGATACAGTACAAACTCACACAAAACAGTCCCTCACAATCTGACCCCAACCTAAATTCTCTGCCATAAACTATGACCTGTCTCAAACACTTTTTCTTCATGCATTCTTGGAATAAATATCCCTTTTTTAAAAATACTCTTTCCTTGGGACACCTTTGTGGCTGTTGGTTAAACATCCAACTCTTGATCTCAGCTCAGGTCTTGATCTCAGAGTG